GTGTAAATAAGGAAAATTTAATAACATCTTGAAGTTTGCTAATTTTCTAAACTTGAATTTATCTCAATAAACTTGTGCATCAGAAAAAAAAAAAAAAAAAAAAGAAGAAAGAAAAGGGGGATTTGGTGATAGCCTCATCACTATCTAATTTGTCTTTCAAAAGGACAAGAATTATATAATTATTTTCAAAATCCCTTAATATTTTAAAACTTGTTTCTTTTATTATATTACCCTCATATCTATCAGCTCTCCTATTAAGTCATCTTCACTATATATTTCAGAGTAAAATTTTACTCTGTATAAAAGTAAAATTTTACTCTGTATAAAAGTAAAATTTTACATTCTGAAACTAAAAGTAAAATTTTACTCTGTATAAAAGTAAAATTTTACATTCTGAAACTAAAAGTAAAATTTTACTCTGTATAAAAGTAAAATTTTACATTCTGAAACTAAAAGTAAAATTTTACTCTGTATAAAAGTAAAATTTTACATTCTGAAACTAAAAGTAAAATTTTACTCTGTATAAAAGTAAAATTTTACATTCTGAAACTAAAAGTAAAATTTTACTCTGTATAAAAGTAAAATTTTATATTCTGAAACTAAGGCTTCGTTTGGGAAGCCATGGTTTGGGCTTTTTGGCTATTTTAGCCACAAAAAATAAAATAGGCTATTTTAGCCATAACAAACAAAACATCACATCCAACCCATAATCATTACATTCTTCTCTCACAAAAAAAGTTAAAAAGTTAAAAAGTCCTTCCCAAACCGAGCTTTTAAGCCCAGGCTAAAAAAGTCAAAAAGTCAACCCACTTCCCAAATGGAGGCTAAAAGTAAAATTTCACTCTGTATGAAAGTAAAATTTTACTCTGAATAAGAGTAAAATGTTACACTCTGAAACTAAAAGTAAAATTTTACTCTGTATAAAAGTAAAATTTTACTCTGAAAAATGAGTAAAATGTTAGACTCTACACAAAAGTAAAATTTTACTCTGTATAAAAGTAAAATTTTACTTTGGTTCTGTCAAATGAAAAAAACAGAGCAATAGAACCAGAGTAAAATTTTACTCTGGTTCTGTCAAATGAAATTAGATAAAAAAACAACAAAAATAAATAAAAAACAAACAAACAAACAAAAACAAAACAAATTAATCAACAAATCAACATATCTAATTGAGAAGAAAAACTTCTAAAACTCGATCAACAATCACAAATCTCAATAAAAAGAATACATGTGTTCAACAACACTCATACACACAAATATATATATATATATATATACATAAATTCAAAACTCAAATCTGTGTTTAAAAAAATATGTATAACCAAACAACTCCATCCGCACTCTTCTCCACGTGGTCATTGCGAACTCGATGGATCTTCAAATTTCAATAGAAGCTTCAAATTGAGTCTAATTTCGCTTCAAGATAGCAAACACAAGTCTGATTGCAATTCAGTTAGCGAAGTCAATCTGCAAGTCGTTTGAACTTAGAGTTTGCAACCTTTAAGTCAGATGCAAACTGAAATCGCAATTCCAATTAGAATTTGAAATCCAAAGTTCTCATCAAAGTTGACTCAAAGAACAACGAGTCACAAGAGAGAACCCAAGGTCAGATCGCGAAGGACTTCAGCTTGTAATTGTGAGTTCCAGAAGCTTGAATTCGGGTTGATTGTTGAATCGAATGAATTTTGTGATGAAGTCCTTGGTTTCTTAACAGACGCAAATTAGATTAAAGCTTCAAACTAAGCTTCAATTCAAATACACAGGTCAGATTGTGATTGCTTGAACCAGGTCAGTGTTCTAGGTCAAAGATTGAATGAATCTTAGGCTTAGATGAACTCGATTTTGGCTGGCCAGAGTCATAGAGACCAAGAAGGTGGAGAGAGAGTGGGTGGAGAAGGTGGGAAGATTTAGTTGAGGGTATAATAGTCTGAAAAATATTTAAATAATAAATTTTGTCCTTTATGCAAGATTTTATAATTATGAAGGGGTTTAAAAAATTTAATTTTTTTTTTTAATCCTTTTAACAATGAAAGGAAGGTAAAAAGGGTTTATAGTCAAGTTTCCCAAAAGAAAAGAAAAGAAGAAGCAGTTGATTCAAACTCAATTCGTGATTGATGTGATCGAAGGTTATTTAAAATTGATTTAAAAAATAAATCAAGTTTGATTATATTTTTAAAACTAGTTAAATTTTCAAACTAAATTTCAAATTCGGTACGCAATATTTGCATACCTGTCCTGATATGCTTTGATACCTTACCAAATATGGGAAAATAAGAATAGGGAAATTACAATTCAACCTATTTGATAAAAAAAAAAAATTATAAAATCATGGGTGTGATTTTTTTCCATGTAAAAAACACAATAAGAGTTGCACCTTTGATCATAAATTTGTAAAGAAAACAAAAATGTAGCAAAAAGCACCAAATTTATTTATTCTTAATTTCCTTTTAATTTCTGTTTTTCTTAATAAATATAACTATAAAATCCAAACATAACATTCATTAATTTAGTTGATTTTGTGACTGACTATTTTAGTTAATTTTTTACGAAAATATGTGTAGAAGATTAGAGCAAATGGTACTGTGGCATTGACTCTTCTCATAACCAAAATTTTGGATCGGTTCACCTTTTACAAGATTTTATGAATATATTTCAATCACTGGTAACTCCGTGTTATTAACGCTTCGTTTTGGAAAGATGGTTGAAATTAATTTAGTTCATCAAAAGATAAAATAAGTTAAAAAGGTAAACATCACATTCAAATTATAATCATCTTACTTTTTTTTTCTTACAAAACTATAAAAAATTAAAAATTCATCTCAAATAAATTTTTTTTAACCAATCTAAAACCGAGTGCTTTGTGTCCCATAAAAGTTAAACCCGAGTCTTTCAAAAATTACCCTATGATACTCTCATGGTCAACTCTTTAATTACTAAGTTATATTATACTACACACTCATAATTTTACTCAAAATTTTTAATCTATAGTTCAAATTCATTCTATGTGTCAACCCCATAATATACAACAAAATCTTCACCACACCTTTGTAATCTTGGTAGGTTATATTGTGGGTCCCTAGAGTTTTTGTAACGGAAAAATCATAACTGAGTGATAGTTTTAAAAAATAATTATAAATTTATGAAAAATCTTAAAATTTTAATTATTAATATACATAAATTTTACCATTGATCTGAAATTATTTTTTAAAAATTTATAATTACTGAACACACATACTGTGGTTTGGATGTGGTTTTTTTTTTTTTTTTTTTTTTTTTTTTTAAAAAAAAATATTTCCTAGAAATCAACAAAAAGAGTTTTTGTCTTTAGCTATGGTGTACATATCATATGAATGTTATTATAAATTGATATAATTTTATCATAAAATTTCATAACATTAGTATAAAATATATAATTTCATCATAAATTAACATAATAAAATACGCAAAACATAATAAATGGAGAAAGAAACATGTTAGAATAGAAAACCTTTTTTCTATTTACAAGAAAGTTAAGAGGGATCTCAAACTTAAAAATGAACTAAACTGGATCCAATTTCTAGAAAATTATAAAAATTGGCCTAAATATCATCTTTAAAATCCAAAATAAATAAATAAATGATACAACAGTGTTATATTCACACCAAATTCTCTTCATAAACCCTTCAAATGACGTGACAAGATTGATTAAAAGGTTTTGAGAGAAGAGAGGATTGTAGGAGTATGAATTATTAATTTGTTTTTTTTCTTACCATATTATTCAAGAGATTTGTGCGAAAGAAAATTTACGGGGATGAAATATTTTTTTAAATAATAATAAATAAAAGTAGAAGTTGAAAAAGGGACAAGCTGAAATAATAGTTGACAAAAAAGCCATCCCAAAACGCCATTCCAAACAACACACCACAAAACCCCATGACTTATAGAAAATGATTTCCATAACTCGATGGAGCAATGAATTTACACCCGTGATTTGGTTAGGGCCCATAAACCCTTTCTTTCATTCATCAATGGGGTTCAGGCTGGTCATTTTTCTAAGACAAGATCGATAAGTTGAAACCATAAAATTTTAAAAAGAAAAAAAAAAAAAAATCTTGTAGGTCTGATTTAGTTGGTCACCTCAACTCTTCTAAAAACTTAGTTTCAAAGAGAGGTTATATATTCAACTCTCCTCGAGGGAGAATTTAATTAAGAACCAAACACTTTGTGTTTTGTATGAGTGAGGAGGCTAACTCCCATTAATGCTAATCTAATTATTAACAACTGGCTTTTACCGTTAAAAAAAAAAACACTTCGCACCTCAGATCAAGATGAAGGGTAGCTTGTCAAACTTGTTTTCATATGCTCTCACTTGTTGTAAACTATACCTTTATGCTCTTTCCAAAATTAAAATAATAATAAAATATAGTGTTGTTTAATAAAATTAAAAATTAGGAATCCTAAATTTATTAAGTTAAAAAATTGTTTGATAAAAATTTAAATATTGAACTAAAAGTAATTATTTGATAATTTGAAATTTATTATTTTCAAATTATATATTTAATTTTTATATTGTGATGGTGGTAGAGGTGATGGTGAAGGTGATGGTGATAGTATGATGATGATGGCAGTGATAGTGGTGGTGGCGGTAGCTATGGTGATGGTGGTAGCATAGTAGTAGTGGTAGTGATCGTTGTGGTGATAGTGATAGGGCGGCATGGTGATAGTGGCGGCGGCGGTGGCATGATGGTAGTAGTAGTGAATTTATAACAGTTAGTATTAATATTTATAAATTCAGTCAGAATTATATAAATTTCATATGACTAAAAACTTTTTTAAATTTTAACCTATATTTTAAAAGGTACTTAAATTTTTAAGTGATATCAATTGTGGTTATCAAACAGACTTAATTGTTTATCACTTAATGCTGAATTATGTTATCAAACACCCCTAAGTAGATAACAGATTCTACACAGAAGTTTCGAATTATGAACAAATTGAGATGCTTGTAGATAGAGGAGGACTATATATCAAACACACCAAACTTATTATTGTTCTCGATATGAAGAGTTCCACAAACCATCATATGTTACAGATAAAACACACACAACATTCACGAACGTGTGCTACCCTTTCCTCAAACATATTCACCAAGGAAAAACATCAAACCAAGCGTTTTACCAATCACACATTGTATTATACACATACCAGGAATGTCTCGATTATGTATATATATAACGGTACTTACATCCGCAAGATCACATTCAAATTCAAGGATCAAGATATTGGCTGCAATCGATACCCTTGTCAGTAAATGCTTCCACAAGCTTAGGGTAGAGCTTAGAAAGCATTATCTTGAACCCCGTAGAATTCCCATGTTGATTTTCTTGCTCACTTTCTCCGTATCCAAAAGCACAGCCAACTGGAACTCCTTCCATATATGCCTTACAAGCCAACAAAATATCTTTAGAGCGCTGGCTGAAGTGTTCTTCCACGAATGCCTCAAAATGCTGCATCGAGAGAGAAAAAACTCGTCAAAATTTGTAAAAAAAGATTAAACCAAAGTTTTTATCATGTCGGTTTCTGTCAAATGGGTGTGGCTTTGGTGACAACATTTAAAATTGGAATGTGTGGATTTGAAAGGGTGCATCTGATTTTTGAACATCACATGGGAACGGAACCCTTCCATTTTAGAATGGTTTCATTACAAAATAAAGTCTGATCATTGCAAAAGATTGAAGTCATGATGGAAATATAAAAAACAAATAAATGCAATATAATTTATAGAAGTGATACTGCACTTATAGAATAGACTCGACCCAAAATCTACAGAAATTCATTTCACAGGACATCCAAGTGCACACTACTACAAAAAATGTTTTTTTTCACCAAGTTCAACAGTTAACAATGATTTCCGTAAGTGCAGACAGGATTTCCATAACATTCCGGAGGTAATTGACACTGATTTCAGTTATGATGGCCATAGATAAAACTGCCTCAACAATAGAAAGATCTGAGATTCTAGAGTAAATTATTGTACCTTGGGTGGTTTGCGTAGAAGGTATAGCATGGACTTGCAGCTAACAAGAAAGGCATTTTCGTTGTAGCTCACTGAGTTCTTCTCTCCCTCGGCTCTTCCCATCTGCTTATCATATCCGGCTTCATTAAAAAAAGGCTTTTCATTAAGCACAAGGGCCTGGAGGGATAGGAGAACTTGGAGAATAGTGGAGCTCCCCGGATTCCATACTTCAGTTCCACTGCCTGTCCAAGTATTGAGGAGACTAAGACAGACTTTGCCGGACTCGTACAAGTTAGGGTTGACACGGAGACCACCAGATCTGTAGTGCACCAACTGCGTAACCAAAAAGCTACATAAGCTAGGGGTTGGAGGCATGCACATGTGGATCTATGTATGAATAACCATGGACAACCAACTGTGCTATGAACACACAGGATTTTCAGAGAATGGGATGTGATAATTTTCAAGTCCTACACATAGGGTTCACTCCATGGACAACCGTGCTATGAACACAAAAGATTTTCAGAGAATGGGATATGATAATTTTCAAGGCCTACAACATAGGGTTCACTCCATTTATCAAAACAAGGTGTCCAAGTTAGCAATCTATAGAGTAAATCTAAGTGCACAGGTAATTTTCATAGAATGAGAGACAGATGTGATACAAAAAGCATGTCCACAACTACTTTTATTCTAGAATCATGTTACTAAGAACAAGAGAAGTAAACTAAAATACTTACAGGAGGTTCGTGAGGATACTCGGGAGGAAAGAAAATGTCAAAGAAGAAAAGCCCATCGTGGTATGGAGTTCTAGGTGCACCAATGATGGCAGCCCGCAACAAATCCATCCTTTCCTCATAAACACGAACATAAATTGTTTCTGCTCAGGTTACAAAACAGATCTTACTGAAAAACACGCCACAAAAGCTGACACACAAGAAGTAAACTACATATGAATTACAAAATTAAATCTTCAAAGGTTTTGGCATGTCATAGGTATAGTTCTTGATAAATGACCTTCTCAATTTGGTTGCTTATATTACCAATTGTTCTTTTCTTTTCCTTTTTTAATAAATAATTTTCAAAAATTCCTTACACAATCCATTAATTTGATGGAAAATGCTATCTACTTCCTTAACATCTCTTAATTTCCATCAGTGAAACAATAAACCATAAACTTCCTTCACCAGTCTCAACTTGACAGCGTAGCTTCAACAATTTATTATTATTATTATTTTTTTTAATTTAAAATTTGTGTGTGCATGTGTGCATGTGCATTCTGCAGGTTAGAGCATTATTACCGAAAAACAAAAATTGATGCCAGAAGCATAATTATTAAACTACTAGAGGGAAGGTCCTTGCCTGTTCCTTTTTCAAAAACTAAAAGGGTTGCATATGCAATTGGAGCATAGTCACTTGTTGTAGAAGAGTTCTTTTTCAATCTCTTTTCAGAGAGGGCAGCTAGTTATGGCAAGGGTTGGAGGGTAGATCAGTTGTTAGAAAGAGGTTTTGGAAGTTTAGAAGGTAATAAAAAGTTGGCTTGGACATACTGAAAGACATGTTCTTCACGAGCAGAGTCAGTAAATAGCAACCAACATGCTATAACATATTCCTCTGTGCTAAATTGGGATATTTTTTGTCTTTTATTATTATTTTTGGTTTGGTTTGGTTTGGGGAGGATTTCGTTTATGATTTTCTTTTGCAATTTAAGATGAGTATGAAACAACCAATAAATTTCAATTTCAGTATTACAGGGTAGGTTAGTGAAACCACTAATGCATTTTAGTCTTCCAACCTCCTCACAACAAATTGTTTCTTCATGAAAGATGTCATTGCATAAAGCACACTAAAGCAACACATAAAATAAAACAACATACCAGGAAGATCGTTCTCCAGAATGCTCCATTCTTGCTGGACCTTTTTCAACCAACCTCTTTTCAACTATAAATGAACGACAGTAAAACAATTATCCCAAAATTTCATATCCACTGATTGATAAAATTTAAGAAGAATATGGGTTATGTTTAACCTGTGATGATGGTAATCCTTTGCCGGCACTGTCAAAAAAGTGGTGGTCCAAGCAATCAGTGACCATATCAAACTGTTTAAATGATTCCAAGTACTTGCAGCCCGATGAGAATGAAGGGGCTTTCTCTTCCTCGGTAGCTTTGACTTTCTGCCCCAAATTTGTCTGTCCAAATGTCTTCACGTCATCTACTACCACTGGTGGGTCCTCAGTGCACAAGTTACAAGATTCCGGCAAATCTTCCTCACTGTTAGACACTAAGTCATGTCTCTCTTCTAAAGCAAGGTCAGATGTACCTGACCGTGATGTGGAACCCACAGAACCAAATAGACTCCCCACAATGCTGGTGAAAATCCCAATTGCAGCTTGAGGAAGGAAATGGGAACCAATGTCCAACAGAACCTGAGCATGTAAAAGATGATTTTAATTTTTTGTAGGTTTAGCATAGTTGGTTCAACGTAAAAATATTCCTGAATTTATGGAGTCCCCAAATAAGAGCTTGTGCCCCAATTCAGTAATTCCAATACGCTTCATTCGCTTGCCTAGATAACGTGAGATCATGTATAAGTTTGGTTGGAGTTTATCATAAGGTTACCAATTTTGTTTTTGTTTCCTATAAAGTTCCAACAATCAAGTTAGTTAATGTAGTTCACTTCCTTAATTATTAATGACTCTATAACCAAATGAAACTAAGTCTTATGTCCCAATCAAGAGAGTGTGTGTATATATTATATAATATGTATGTATATGTTTTCTTGATAATTCATTCCCTTAGGCCTGTATGATTAGAATGAAAACTATGATGGAAAGTGAAAGTGATAGAAAGTGAAGTGACAGAAATTTTTTCTGAGAAAGTTGGAAGAAAATTGAGAAGTGAGGAAACACCTGGATATTTTCATTAGAATTGTTTTAAATTTTTTTATTTTTTATTTTAAGAAATTGAAAGCCAACTTACCATGTTGATATGGGTTATACAAGAATTTTGACTTTCTTGCAATTTCCATCACTCTCATGCTAAACAAAATAAATAAATAAAAAGTTGCAATTTTTTCCTCTTTTCCACACTTTCCACCTCTTTCATCTTAAGCAAACTCACCCATAATGAAATACTCTTGAATGAAATGGAATTGTGAGCATTTCATGATATTCAAAATCAAGTAAGTTGCAAATCATTGAAAAATCCTCCAATTATCACAAGATTTCCTAAATGAAAATTTGTATACAATGTCTTGATGGGTGTTATTTTCAGTATCAAAGTTAATTTCAAAATATCCCGCCATTCCTCGGGTTTTTGCCATCCCATGGCTTCTCACACTCTTAACAATAACTACCCAGACAAAACTCAATTTACAAAATATTCTCACCACCAATATATTCCTAAATTGAGAAGCCTTCATTGTGGAGAGTAACACAATAGTGTGAGCCTGTAAATGTGAAAAGCGAGAGAGAGAGAGAGAGTTGGCATCACCTTTTCCTTGGGGTGCAAGGGTTGTTCGTCGTACCGAGTCATCTCCTGAGTCAATTGCTCAACATTTTCCCCATGAGGCACAAGATTAGGTGATGAACCTTCATATTTATCCATTCGAAAGATTTCATAAGGTGCAACCTGGAATTACATTAAAGCATTTAAATAACTATAAATTTGATTAAAGGAAAAATACTTGTTACCAATATATAAAGACACAATCAACATTATATGGTAAAAAAAGTTTATTAAGCATCTGGAATTGGTACATATTATAGCACTCGGATCTAGTTCTGGAAGCTACACTAGTTCTATCAGAGCAACATGGCATTCTTGTAAACAAGCACCAAACTGCAGTCAAACAAGAAAATTTGACAAGAAACCAGATTTTGCCCATCATATTTGACAAGAAAATTTTCCATCTCCTGAACTACACTGAGTATGATCAAAGTCCACATAAATCACAGCTTTGATTCCAGATATAAAAAAATAAGGAACCTTTTCTTCTTTTAATAATGGGAACGTAGGAATTTTTAATGTATATATAAAAGAATCATATTTATTAGGGTTTCCCTTTGCTCAAAGGGAAGATGACAAACTCATTCTTAGAACACACCAACATATATCAAAAGTCCAGTGACGATGGAAAGACATCAAACTCGATCAAGCAACCTGAAAGTGTTGGGGGGACAAGCACAGATGCCTCTAACGGACCCAAAATTTTTTTCAGCAATAGTAGGAAAAGAAACACATGGCAAACCTACCAAAATATCTCAATTAGTTAGAACATTAAAATTTAGAATTAACAAGAGTGTACTTTAATATTGCAAAGCATTAATGCAATATGTCTGAGTAGTGCGATCCTTTTTTGCAAACTCATCACAAATTCCAAATCAACTAGCATTCCTAATGCCATAGTCAATTAAAAAACAAAACAAACATGCTTTTCAATAAATAATCAAGAAGAAGAGGTACCTTTGTTATATGACCACTTGCCCATTTCACCTCAACATTCCCATCTTTGAAGCCCATAACAATGCCAATACATGATAAGTAATCATTGTTCAAGAAAACATTTTGTTCTTCACCGCAGTTCTTAACTTTAAGATCAGCCTCCTCATCAACTAACTGGTTCTTTTCCCATTGAAACACTACATCACCAGGGCAATAGGAGTAGTCGGGGTGTTCAACTAGTTCATAAGCACTCACAGTCTCCTCCTCTATCTGCTCTCCCACCAAATCATTAACTTGATTAACTGCAAGACTTTTCCACTGCACTCTTGCAGTCCGTTCTTTTGCATCGACGCATCTCACAACACCCCATCTTTGGGCACCATGAACATGTGGATCATCACAGGTACCCTTTTCCAGCACAAACTGATCGACCCAAAAGTCATGGGCATCAACAATATTTACAGGACACAGAGAAGGTGAATCTATTCCTGTTGAGTGGCTTCCATCCTGCCACAGAACATCAACATTGGTCTTTGTCTTCACAATAACAAAGATTTCTTGAAATACTTTTTCAGCTTGCTTATGTCCTTTACAGAGATCAAAAGTAGATGCACCAAGAAAAATCTGATCCATAACTCCTTTACAATCAGCAGTTGGAAGCATACACCAATCGCCAAGCTGCCAATTTGCATGAGAGAAATATGACAACAAGGTCAGGTTTTTTGAATCCTGCATGCACGGTGGAGCAGGAGCCTTTTCAGAACCAAGCAGAGCACAGGCAAGCCAATCAACATATAAAAAACCCGCTTCGACAGCACAAATGGTTCCTTCATCTCGCTTTTCCTTCCACGTACCACATAACCATCTAGCCGACTTGGAAACAGTATGGAGCTCAACTCGCACCCTCTGTCCTGGGTAATAAGGGTATTGTGAATCTTCAAGCAAGTCAGGAGAGAGAGGTACAAGCTTTTCGGGACCCATTGTGGTCAAGTCGGACTTTGTACCGTCATCAAACAGGATGGTGACACTGTCGACTATTTTATCCACTCTTCCAAGCCACGGCCCATGCACAACATAATCCCCCACAGAAACAGAACGGATCTTTCGAATTTTTCTGGAATTCACATTTTTTATTTTTTTACCGTCAAGGTTTTCCAAGTCCACAAACATATCAACGTTGACCACTCTACCCATCTGTCCTGATGGGTCAGTTGCAGAACAAACAATGTCACCTTGTATGTATCCCCTCTCAAATGAAAGGAAATCATCAATTTTTCCAATGGTTTCCTCGAGGCTTGATAGAATGTTACTGGCCTGCCCACCATATATATTTTCAATGTAATCTTGCTCCTCACTGCAACTACTCTCACTGAAACTGTCGAGATCACTGAAGAAATCCATTGTTTGGATGTCTATCCGAATATATCTGCAATTTAGGATCGGATTTGGATGGTTTCTAGAGCAGAGACAAAAATGATTACCTGGATATGAGTAGAGACAAAAATTTTAGAAACAAGAATAATATTCAGTATGTGAAACAACATTAAGAGTCTGTTCAGATGGATGTGGATTTCAAACCAAGGGATTTGACATTAAAAAAATGGAGAGTTAGCTATTGGTGGATAGAAAAACTATGGAAGAAGATATGTTGAGATAGAAGAGACGTACTTTAGTAGGATCTATGTAGCTAGTAGTGAATTGCTTGCATGATTTCTAATAACTACTTTTATATAGTTATTTCAAATCCATCATAAAAAAGCTATTAATTCAACCTTGAAATTCGTAGGTAAACTATCAAATCTAAATTTGAGTTAGTCTTCTTGAATGATTTGTGAAATCCATGCATTTCAAATCCACATACATCCAAAAGAACCCTAAAAGTAACCATATTCAGCTTCATTCAGGCAACTTTGAACTACTAATGGGTAATTTTTAAGTTATAACTTCTATTATCAATTTATCATATTAGGTAAGTGAAGTACCGTCAGGGAACAATAATTATGAGGTGTAGAGAGAATTACCAACACTCCATGTCCTCTGTTGGTCCAAACGTTATTTTGAGACAGATGTATTGTAGTAAGGATCTGCTCTTGTTGTTGATACCAAATGATGATATGATAAGTATCACTGTAAATCTTCAAAAATAGATATGTATCTTTAGATCAATCTGATCTTGCGATGCAGAGACCTAAGATAGTACCTCCAAAAAATGGAGATGTGATGCCAAAGGAGATTTGCCCAAATAGAGCTAAGGGGGTAGTCTACTTGACTCCCAATTGCCAAAGGAGATTTGCCCAACAAATGGACTGAAGTTTCTGCTAGAAGGAACAGCCAAATGAGATTTTCCCAACACGTTGCAGTGAAAATCCCTAGATAAAGAAATTGTGCAGCAGAGAAGATCTACCAAATAGCCAGGTTGGAGTTTCAAGCAAACCAAACAAATGATAACTTCCCAACAATGGATAAGACCTTCCAAAACTGCCAACGCAGCACTGCCTAGCTAGAGAAACTTGTAAGTAATGCCAAAGGATATTTGCCCAAAAGAGCCGGATCTACGAATATCAATGTATATATTGCCAAATTGTCCAAGAGAATTTTCTTTTTTCTTTTCCCTTTCAGAAGCCAATTTGATATTGCCAAAGGAGATTTGCCCTGAACGAAGCCAAAGTTTCGGTCAGGTTTGTTCACTGCCAAAGGAGATAGATTTGCCTCGCTAAGTACAATCAGACAACAGGAAGCAAGGATTAAGAAGAGGAAGTTCAAGCCATCCAATAGAAAAAGCAAATTGAAGAAATGAATCTTCTGACATGACCCAAAGAAACCAAGCTATCTTAGAGCCAGCTTTATTTTCCAAAAGTCAAGACAGCTTCTATGCCCACTTTGTGATGAACATAGAACCTGTAACAGAACCAGCACTGAAAATTGGATGAATTTAATCAATATAGAGTGAAAACAAATAAAAAAATTTATAAAAAAAATCAATTAACACATTTTCCAATGTTCAGTTGTTCATAGAATATATTCTTTCAAGAAAGGGATGAAAATCAAGAATATACAATAGCAAAAGAAAAGTTGGGTGGATTTGAGAACATAGTAGGTCAACTGATTCTGATATTTCACTTTTATATGTTCATATATACAAAAAGAATATCTAATAGGTTGGTTTGAAAACTTCTATTAAAAAAAAAAAAAAAAAATGAAGTATAAAAGCATTGGGAACTTCTTATATCATTTTTATCACATTGCATTCATAAAACTAACGCAGGATAAAGCCAGATTTTGTTGAATCCATTTGCAAATCTTTATCAGGAGCTCCTACTTCCATTTTTTTCTTCCTATTTTTTGAGGCCACCTTTAGGAAAGTAATACAGTACCTTACAAATGACTTTGAACATTACTTCCATCCACTTGACTATGAGAGAGAGAGAGAGAGAGAGTCATGTCTCCCCTAAATAATTCAAACTTGATGCCTAATCCAATCCTTCATCAAATTTAAATTTGATGAAAATTTTGGTGAAAATTAGATCAAATCCTTTCGAAACTTATCAAATCAAGTATGAATAAAATCTTTCACCAAATTTCCAACAACCCTTTTTTTTACTTAAGTTTGATGAAATTATTAAAAGATAAAGGATTGGAGATGGGTTTTTTTCCACCAAAATTGGATATAAGAGGTTTTTGGGATATGTTAGGTATTTTAAAAAAGATTGAATGAAAAATTTGATTCTCACAACTGCAGTGAGCTATTTATCAAATTAAGCTTTTGGTCTAAATTCTTGAACAAATTTGAAGGAAAAAAAAGGGTGAAGGATTGGATATGCTCTAATATGTAGTAAAAAGATTCAAATTCCAATACCGATAAAATGATTTATGTCTTAGTTCATACACAAATTTTCAGTAACCTATTCTCTCAACAACTTGAAATACATAAATGCATATAATCACACACTTGGTGCCTAATATGTAGTAAAAAGATTCAAATTCCAATACCAATTAATTGATTCATGTTTTAGTTCTTACACAAGTTTCCAATAACCATTTCTCTCAACGACTTGAAATACATAAATGCATAAAATCATACATACCTAATATGTAGTAAAGAGATTCAAATTCTGATACCAGTTAAATTGATACATATTTTAGTTCATATACAAATTTCCAAGAACCATTTCTCTCGATGACATGAAATACATAAATGCATATAATTAAGCATACAACATGTATAAACTTCATTTAATTTTAAATTCCAAGAAAACCAATCATCATTAAATTAACCCCAAACCTTCTTTGATGAATTAAACATAATGTTCCTATGAGAATTTCAAAAAATTATATACTCAAAGACAACCAAGAACACAATTTTGAATTGTATGAATTAAGAGAGGACAAAATTGTATCATTTGCAGCTAATCAACACCATTTGAACCATAAAATGGTTGTCAATTGGGACCAAACATACCTAGAAAACCACCCAAGAGACCATAATCTGATCAAATGAACAGAACCCAGAACTTGAATTGATGAAATTCAGTGGCCCCTCCTGTTTTCTTCCACTTTCCCGCACTTTCTATCACTTTCCTCGCAGAGAAAATAGATGGAAAAGCTAGAAAAGAAAAGAGAGACTGGGAATTCAGAGAGGCCAAGTTCCTCCCCAAATCCCTTCCATCACGCCATAACCGAGCCTCCCAAACATGCCTCTTCTCTTCTCTTCTCTTCCCTTCTCTCTCTCTCTCTCTCTCTCTCTCTCTCACTGTTGAATTTGGTTTCTCTCTCTTTCTCTCTTTCTCTCTCGAACGTTGGAGGTTGGTTTTGAGTGCTTTTTTTGGCTTGATATCCAATTAGATATAAACAACATGTGATCAGATACGCCCAGAATATACCAACAGTATCTTTATCTCTTCTCTTTTAAATACACTATCCATTACAAGGTAACAGTTACTGCTAAATGACCATAATACCCTTCTAATTTCACTTATTTTTTTTTAGGAGGCGTGGTTATAGTTCAAAAAGTAAAGGTAATTGACAAAAAGTTCATACTTATAGAACCTTATATTATTTGGTTCAAGATTTAATTTTCTTTTTGTAATAAGGTCATATGTTGAAGTTGCTGGTGTTGTCGGATAATTATCAATGGTGACAGTTGGTAATAGTGATGTGAATAAATAGGTGAATATGTGACATATATATAAATAGATGATATTTTGAATAGATATGTATCTTTTCGGAGATACAATGTCTTTTTGACCTAAAAATATTTTGGACAATAAATTTAATATAAATATATATTGGCACAATAAATTTTTGCAAAATAAATTTTGAATATTTATAGACACTTGTAAATCATATATATTAATTAAGATTAGGTACAACACAACTTTAAAACGAGTTAAACTTAAAACATTCAAATTTATAGTTCATTCTAATATAAATCCTTTACTATTGAAATAACTTTGCTAATGCTTGGCACCACTAAAAGTTAGCTTATAAGAACATCTCCGGTGTTTACTTAAAATGTTTATTAAATATGAGTAAAAATTTAATAAAAAGTTTGATCTAATATGATGCATTTCAACGGATTTCATCAATTCAACCGATCGTTTTGGAAGAGTAAATTTTCATTCAAATTCATCCCAAATCCAGTTGTCTGGGCTAACGTTTGACTCAACAATCACCTATAAATTTGATGAAAAGATAAAATGCTCTCTTGATTTAATAAAAAAAATAATTCTCCCTTCATTTGATATGAGTTTGATGCCATGGTTGGAGTAAAAAAATGAACGTGTTTCATCAAATTTAAATTAAATAAAAAATATGAGTAAAGATTAGAAACGTTCTAAGTCTATTTACTTTGACAAAAAACAATCATTTGAGCATTTTTTTTTTCTTTCAAAAAGCTAACTTTCGTCATTTAAAAGAGTCATTAGAAAATTAAAAAAAAAAGTTTGATTAAAAAGCTAACTTTTGTTAAGTTATTTTTAGTCAATAAATTAATTTTTTAGCTAACTCCCAAAGAAGTTGATTCAGGTTTTGTTTGATTAAAACCAAAACAACTTTATTTGGCGGATTCTTAAAAGCCAACTTATTGGTTTAAAAAAATTATTTTGTTAAAAAAAAAAAATCATAGTTCATTTGGAAAATTATTTTCTCATAAAAGTTTATTTCAGCCACTCTAAAAAGTTATTGGACAAAACAAAAAAATTCAGAATATACCAAACAAATTAATTTTTTTAAATTTTATTTTTAACTAATAAACAAAATTTTTAACTAACTCCCAATCAAAACCTTAGACATATTTGGTGCACATAATCAACCATAATACAAGTTTATACACGAATTTCATTTAAAAATTTGTTAAATTGTGTTGATTTCATAATTAATTTTTCTTTTCTTATGGGGTCATAATCATCAATTTTATTGATGACATGACATCAAAATTTGAAACAATTTTAACAAGGGCAGCAAATTCCCCTATATATACAATTCATGCCATAATTTTCATAGGGATATAAAGGGAAGGAACAAGATGTTAGATCATTTGACTGTACTATATGTAACAGTTCTTACATTTCCACCTGTCAGACCAGTGGTCCAAAAAAGAGAATTAGTTGGGACATCTTTTTAGACTCTTGTGACATTGATCAATGCAAAGTGGAACTTCTAATAATGCTTTCCACAAGTTAATCTAATTGTTTCAAAACCAAAATCATTCAAAAGCAATATGTAATGAAACCAACACTCGGTTTGTTTTGTTGAAAAATGTGTTTCACAACAAATATTTCCCTAAATTTGGTTACATAATTTTGAAAATGATATGCTATAGGGATGGTGGTGGTGGTGGTGGTATTAGTTGTGACAATAGTGACAATAATAATGATGGTTGTGTGGCAGCAACGACGGTAATGGTGATATTGGTAGTGTTAGGTTTTATTCTTGACAACCTCGTTTGACAAAACTCCTTTCAGTTGTATTTGTTTTCGCACATTTTTTTCAGTGAGGTTATGAGTTTATTAGATGCGAATCCAACCCGAATCGTGCCTTTGTCAATTTCCATGGATCAAAACTGAGGTTGTAACAGGATCAAGTTTTCCAGATTTTCCAATTTTGGTCGTCCCGCTCGAGCGGGACAAGGGACGCTCGAGCGGGGATTACAAGCTCACAGCATCTCTGCCTCGTCTGTAAAAATATTGGAAGGTGTGATTTCGCGCTTGAGCGGGTTCTCAAGCGCTCGGGCGGACCTCTGTTTTGTCACACGCATATTTTGCTGAAGCTGCTCGAGCGGGCTGTTGGGCGCTCAAGCGGAGATCGCGAACATAGATTCTTTGGATTTCTATGAGGAATTGGTTTTCTTCAAATTTAGGATTACTTTGGATTTCTATAAGGAATTGGTTTTCTTCTAAAACTAGGATTACTTTGGATTTCTATAAGGAACTGGTTTTCTTTCAAAACTAGGATTACTTTGGTTTTCTATAAGTAGTTGGGTTTCTCCCAAAACTTGTACAAGTCCTCCAGATCTTCTTTTTGGATTCTAAGGTTTATATATGGGGATATTTTGCTAATTTTCTTTGATGTTTTAATTGAGTATTCAACTCATGGTTTAAAGAGTATACATCAAAGGATTATTTGTTTATTCTACACAAAAGAGAGAGCTGTTCTTCGGCGGATTCTGAAGAATTTGAGCCTGAAGCTTTGGTAGATTCCGGAGTGGCTCATCGTCAAGACAATTCCGAGGTGAAGACAGGGTTGGAAGAGACGCATAGAGGTTGGTTCAATTCGGGCGTGGATTCGCTAGGTAATTGAGAGTATACCTGTGTAATTCCTTTATATCTTCTTAGTGGATTGTTTTGTGGCTGATGTCCGTGGTTTTTTTATCACAATTGTAGGTGTCCAATTGTGGTTTTTCCACATAAAATCGTTGTGTCGATTTGTTTTGATTATTTGATTGGGATTGTTGTTTACTGCTTAAAATTGATATATAATCACAAATCAACATCTAGGGGATTTCTAGATTTTTCAATTGGTATCAGAGCAGGTCGTTCTAAAAAAAATATATTTCTTTTAAAACGAGATCTTGTTTGATTTGTGATAATGGATTCAATTCGTGAGGGAAATTCTATGGTTCGACCACCCCTACTTGACGAATCCAATTATTCTTTTTGGAAAGCTCGGATGAGGTCGTTTTTGAAATCTATAGATGAAAAAGTTTGGCAATCTGTCATGAATGGGTGGACCGAACCAACAATTATTGTTGATGGAGTAATTTTTCCCAAACCAATTGAAAAGTGGGACACAATTGATTACCAAAATAGTAGCTGGAATAGTAAAGCTATCAATTCTCTCTTTTGCGTTGTCACACCTGAAGAGTTTAGTCGTATTTGTAATTGTGAAGTCGCAAAAGAGGCTTGGGATATCTAACAAACTATTCATGAGGGCACTCATTCTGTTAAACGCTCAAAACTTCAAAGGCTCACGTCTAGTTTCGAAAACCTTTCAATGAAAGATAGTGAGACATTTGATGAATTTTATACGAAGTTGAGTGACATTGTAAATTCCAACTTCAATTTAGGTAAAAAAATACCAGAATCCAAAGTTGTGGGAAAAATTTTGAGGCACATAGGAATTTCAAAAAGAAACAAAAAGATATTGCTTTTAGTAGTGCTCATAGAATTGGAGAGGATTCTGAGATAGATTCTAAGACTACGGCTGCTTTTGTTAAATAATTTAAAAAATCATTTCTGAAAAAAAATCCTAAACTTTTGGAATCTACTTATACTCATAAATCTAAAGGCAAAGATAAACTCAAAATTAATTCTATAGCCAAGAAGGAGAAAGGAAAGATACAAAGGAAAGATACAAAGGAACTCTGAAAGAGTCCAATGCTATGAATGCCAAGGATTTGGCCACTTTGCTTTAGAATGCTCTACTCGTTTGAGGAAGAAGAAAGCCCTCGCTATCACTTGGGATGATGAATCAGAATCTGATGAAGATGAAAGTGACAATAAAGATCAAGGTGAAGAGGGACATAAACAATTCCTTACTTTCATGGTGGCTTCTGAAACTGAAGGACGAGCAAAGTATCCGAAGAGGCCGGTTGAGAATATCACTGATGATGAATCCTCGGATAGTGATGATGAAGAGCTTAAGCAAGCTTATGAAAATTTGTATAAGGAGTCTCTTAAGTTATCCAAATTGAATGACAAACTCACTATGAAACTCACAGCATGTGAAAGTGAGAATGTCAAACTAAAGGAGGAGATTTCCGAGGGTAGGATTGATGCCATCAAGATAGCTAATGATCGACAAGCTCTTTGCGCAAAACTCTTGACTTGTGAGACAGAGAGGAACGAGCTACAACAAATCTATGCAACATATGAAGAAAAAATTGAAACTCTCGAGATGTCTCAAGTTGCTTTGGAAGAACTAATGATCAAGAAAGAGGAATAACTCAAGTGTGCCATGGTTACCATTGGTCTTTGGAACAAAGGATCAAAGACTTTAGACAATATTAGACTCAACAAATTTGTTCAGACAAGAGTGGCATTGGCTTTGGTGGTAAAAAAGAGCAAAAACAGAGTGCATCAACATCTCATGATACAAGAACTCAAGGAAAGGGAGAACAAAAAATTTAACATAAGGATGGAATTCTCAAACTTTCTAGAGTTGGTAAGGTAAAAGAAAAGAAGGTACACCCTGTTTTTATTTGTCATCATTGTGGTATGCATGGTCATATTCGCCTTTATTGTTATAAGTTGCATGGGAGAGGGTATTTGCCAAGACTGAGAAATAAGAAGCTGGAACCATGTCGAGACAAGTTCCCATTGCAGGGGAAAGGAACCACAACATCAAG